AATTTATAAATGAAATCTTGCCTATAAGAACTCTATCGTGCTGAAAGGGTATGCAGTTCACAGGTTTATTTTTACGTGTTGACATTTAAACGTACATGTTGTAACTTATAACATCTTTTTGTCACCTAATTTGAAGTTAAAACTTTTCTCTAGACATAGAGGTTTATTTGAGTCTTTCTAGATAAAGAAGAGGGTTTATTTAGGTCTTCACTAGAGAATTTGGCTTCAGGTTTTGTTAATAAATTTAGTCTGCGACGGCAGCTATCAATTGCAAAAGCATGCCGATTTCATAGTAAATGACATACAAACTTTGGGATAGAACTCTTTTCCAGAAAGAATATTGTCAGAAAGTGGCATGAATCTTCGTAGCATCATAGGATCTGTGCAGCACAATAATTTGATTGCTCGAGCTTCCTGGACTCTGGGAGAAATTTCTTTTTGAACCCAGAGTTGCTCAGGAACCACTTTTAACAATCATTTCTTTGTAAGATTCTTTGATCTTAGTGTCTGCTATGTGACAGTTGGCCTGTTAGCACTTGGATTGGTGGGTGTATGACAAGATGTGGCATGAAAGAAAGTAAAGTTGATTATTTCTTCTTTATGCAATCTAATTATTTTTTCCTTATGAAATCTAGGCGATGTAGTTACAGGAAGCGATGCTCAGGTTTCTGCTCCTGCCCAGACTCTAACTGACCCCCAAGGTACAGTTACCACGGCAACACAGCGGCTCCCTCTTTGCCTGCCTTAGTATCATTGCCTTTTCCCAAACCCTATTCCCCCACCCCGCTTTGCCCACCTCCATTCACCGCGGATCAGTTCACTACCATCACACGGCCACAGAGTGGCACTGTTGTTTAAAGCAAAAGTCCTTCATGTCTTCCAAGGTGAGGCCGGTTCTCTATTAAAAGTGCGCCAGCCCCCTTTCCTGGCGAAATGTGCCTTGCCCTATATTTTGTGGTTGTTTTAACGTGGCACTTTGGGTGGCAGCCCGCACGGAGATATTCTTGTTGCACAGGTGTTCTGTGACAGCATGTGACAGATTGACTCGGAGAGTAGACATCTGCATGCTGGGATTAGCCAGAAGCACTGACTACGCTTTTCCTAAAAGACCCGCCACCTAATTTTGAAATACGTTTTTAACTCACGTTTTTAACTCACAGAATTTAAAGTGTGACCAGTCTTCATGTACCGTAGCTCACCATGAATTCGAATACAAACAGGATAGATGAATGTCGCTCTCTTCAAAGTCTGGAAAGGGTTTACTAGAAGAACCAGTAGTCCACATCCAGCAGCTAGCAGCTCTGACAAATTTTAAAGCACCCGGCAAGGGTAGAGGTTACAAGTTGGCCTGCTAACTGCAAGGTCAGCAGTTCAAAACCACCAGCCGGTCCACGGGAGGAAAACGAGGCTTTCTACTATGGGAAGAGTTACAGTCTCGGAAACTCCGAGGACAGTTCTGCACTGCTCTGTGGAGTCACTCTGAGCGCATCGACTTGATGGCCGTGAGTTTGTGTCTTGGTTTTTGAAGTATGTAGTCTTTTATAATGTCATCTGTTAAAGGAAGTATACCGTGGATAGAATTTCTGTATACACGGAAGCCAAAGTGAAAATGATCTTAACTTGAAGAATCTTCCATTCCGATCCAGACTAGAGAGATGTATGAAGGAAAATTCATTCCATGGTTTTCTTTATTTAAATTACCCATATAATTGCTATTAAAATTAAAATACTAGTATAATAATTAATAGAATTTGCTTTCATGGTCTCCCTGCCCTTTAATAAATTAACAAAAAGGAGTGGGTTATGATTACATGATTGATGTGTTGGCTTCATTAAAATTTAAAAATCACCATCTTCTGGCAGCAGAGGGTGCGGGCTTCCTTCTGTACGTAGTTCCAGGTTTCAGGGGCACAGTTCCTGGCTGTCTCCTGGCCATTAAACCAGGTGATCTGAAATGACTTGTCTAGCTCAGGGGCTTCTAAGAAAAGCTGTTTATTTTTCCCAGTATTTGTTCAAAAGAGCTCATCTTCACAGCCTGACCCATCATCAAGGGATACAGTGCCATGAAGATTATAAAATGACAGATCATCCCCAAATGATGCCTCTTTAGTTTTGTCTGTGAGTGCATGTAATTTAATACCAGTGTTATAACCTAATGGGGTGAGATTCACAGGCTCTCACTCTGTCTGTGAAAGTAAGTGTTTACCGTGGGTTCTGTCATCCAGAGAGCAGAGCATGGCCCTCTCTGAAAGCTAAGGCCCAAACGTCCTAGTTCACCCTGCAGAGGCAATGAAGAGCCACACTTTCAGTGGTTACATCATAAAAGAACAATAATTTCCCACGGAAGTTTACCTCTCTTCACTTTTAGCAATAGTAATTATATAGGTTTTGTCTATTTTTTTATATGAACACAAAATGCCATTGGACAATTTGTTTAGGTTAATAACTGATGTTGAAAGTTTCATTTCATACTTCCCAGCCTAGGTTGCAATCATTTAAAATGTGCCACTGGGTTCCTTTGAAATGATATTTAGATACGGCATACCTACACCCAGAGCCCTTTTCCAAGAGATATCTAGGACTTACTTACAAATCAAAAGTTTTGAAACACATATACATGCATGCATTTTCTCAAGAGACTTTAGAATGTCTTTGAAAGAATTATGCATGTATAAGTATAATCATGTAATGAACGGACCATTAGAAAAGAAATTTAAATTTGAAAATCATTGCCATGGGTGTTTCTGCAATTTGTGTGTGTTTATATTATGTGTCCAATTATAAGTACATATTATATACACATACAGAAAGTCTATCATTATATAATAATGTATCTAGATATCTTAATATAAAGGGGGGGGGACCTAAAACCTCCCTGTCCAGACAGCCATGGATCTTTTAAGACAAAATGAAGACATGAGCAGTCTTCAAGCAGAAGTGCAAATTCACTGCAGTCAAGCCCGTTCCCACTCAGAGACCACACAGGGTAACATAGAGCTGTCTGTCCCTGTGGGTTTCCAAGACCACAGACGGAGTGGAAAGCCTCATCCTTCTCCCACAAAGTGCCTGGTGATTTCTAACTGCTGACCTCTAATGCTATCGTCATATATCATGTTAGATATTCCTAATTAAGGCCATTATTTTTTAAAGTGGTGGGGGTGGAATTCCCTTTTCTCCACCCGTCTCTTTCTGCGAACCCATTTTCCCCAAGAGTAGCCACTGTTGCAATTCTCTGGCTTCCTTCCAGAAAGGAAGAGCACATGTTAAGCCGAGTCCGCCTGGCAGCCTGGGAGTCACAGTCATGTGATAGTTGCTCCCTGGTGTGGCAATGGCTGCCTACCTGGACCTTGAAGAAATGGGAGAAAGCACTAGTAGAAATGACCCTGAGCAGGCAGCCAGCAGCACATGGGTAGGGCAACGTGAGAGGAGGGAGGTGGAGTCACTGAGGCAGAACCTGGCCCCTGTGGACACATTGTTATGTTCGCTCTGGCTGTGGGGAAGTGAAGTTCCTGAAAGGGAGCCGATCCTCTCATGAAGTTCGGTACAATCGCTTTACAAAGGCAGCTAAATAGAAGATCATGGGAAACATCATGATGGGCAGCATCAATTAGCTAGAAGTGCATTTTTGTGACACTTTTTTTTAATAAATGAGGTTCGTAAGCAAGGTTAGGATTTGCACTCTACTTTTGAAAGTCCTCTTTTTCCATTTCTATTGAATCCAATTTTAAAATTACATTACTAAAACGTTCTCGTAGGCATTTGGATGCAGGGTGGGGTGGCTATTCTGAGCCAGGGCTCTTTCTTGGCTCCCTCCCTGACTGGCTGGGTACCCTGGGAGGTTACTTAACCTATCTGTGAGAGAGGACACACAAGTACACCAAAGGTTACTGTAGGGCTGTGATTCTACTGGCTGGTAGTAAGGGCTTGAGAGGACTCCCTGACCAGGCACCACTGGTGATGGCAGAACCACGATGTACTCGGCCTCAAATACCTTTTGAGTTTTCAGAATCCAATGAAGGAGCTCGCTCAACATCGTTATCTTTTCTATGTAAGCATTTCTGATGCTCTAAAAGCTGATATATGCATGCAAGCACCCGGCCCAGTAATAGCTGACTTCATGGCCAAGCTAGAGCATGTGTGTCCCAGGGGCTTCCGGATCCACCTGCTTCCAGCTGCGCTCTCTCCTGACACCACAGATGATGATGATGGATGACTTCATCCATCAGACATCTAACCTCCTACTGCAATCAGTAAGGAAGCCAAAGGTTACCAGGTGCCTCCTGCCTTCTCCTGCC